TTAATTTGATTTTGATTTAAGCTTTATTATAATTACCAACATTTGTGGACTATAATCTTTATTGGCCCATTCATAATTCTAAGTTTCAAACTTGAAATAATATATTAAAAGATAACTATGAAAAAGTATAAGAAATATTTAAAAAATATATCAAAGTAAATATTTTTATGTATAAAATAAAATTTTAAAATTATATATATAATGTCGGGTTGGTTTGGTCTCGGGTTGGTTTTTTTTAATTAAAACCAAACCAACCCAAATATAGTCAGGTTTTTTTTTTCAAAATCAAACCAAGTCAAACCAAACCACTAATCGAATTTTTTTTTTGAATTGACTCGATTTACGGTTTGATTCGGTTTTGTACATCCCTAGTCTTACATTTATATGTTAGTCTACATCTACCAAAACTGTAAAAAAAAAAAAAATTGAAATGGAGTTCCCCCAAAGCTTGGTGAACTATTCATTTAGTATGTATTATTTGGGACATGTCCTTTTGGTGCAAAGAAATTGAAAAACATGTCCTTTTAATGTCAGATTTTGAAAAATATCTTTAAAATATATTCACATGACACAATAAGTTCATGATATTTTGAAGAGGGGTGGCCGGGTGGGGGTGGAGGGAGGTAGTTTTATGGACACCTAATAATTTAGTTAAGAAACTCATATAACAATGATAGTTTAGAGAGAATTTTAACTATTTTTTTTTATGTACCACTGCTACTTGAAACTCTATGAAAGAGGTTTGAAGCGTGATGTTCACGTGACATATCATATAACTTTAAGGAATGTTTTAGTATATGAGTTAATCATAATTTTAAATTGAAGGGTTCTATAAATCTTTAATAACCTAAATATAAAACTCATGAAATAGTGATAATTTAAAAGTTTTAACCTATTGATTACTCTTCAATTCTCAATTGAAAATTGAGGAGTGAAATTACCAAAAATAAATGAATGATTACATGTGTTGTTCTTACAATTTTATACCAAAAAGATTTATAGAGGTTTTTCAGGCATTACTAATTTATTCCTTAAAGATTTTTTTTTCCGAAATTTTATAAATTTGTTTACGCTTTAAAGGAAAAATAGTTATTAGGATAAAGTGGAAAAAAAATAATTAATTTTATCTTAATTATGTAAATTAATAAATAATTTGAGATAACTATGTATAATAAGATGTACAACTAATATAAAATGAAAAAAATAATTGCGTGTATAATGAACCGTGAGACAAACTCTTTTAGCTCAAATATTACGAAAGATTGTGTAATTAATTTTAGATCTTTTATATTTTCAATGTTACCCTAGATAATTATACTTTCTTCAGTTCATTTTAATTGATGTTCTTATTCTTATTATAAATAATCGTACCAAGATAATTACATTTTAAAAAATTAAGATATAATCAGTTAGTATTTATATTTTTACCCTTACTTATAAATAGAAAGAAAGATTAACATGATAAAACAATTATTAAATTAAAATTAAAGAGTAAATCTATTTAATATTTTTTTATAAAGATAACAAAGAAAACATAAGGAAAATTGACCGCAGGAAGTATGATGCAAACTTCACATGCATATGTCTAATTGTTCAACGCATTTATATAAGACGTATGTGCACATTACGCCAAAATGGTATCACATTCATCTTATATTAGTTGATTATTTTATTAAAAATAATTATATTATATTAGTTGTCCACTTTATTAAATTAAAAAAGTATCAATTAAAATTTTCTAATATTACTCTTGCAATTAATTCTTTCTGAAAGTATTTATATTTGTTTGTAAAATTCTCCACAAGTTTTTTAAGGGGGTGAATTTAAAATTATCTTTTTATTTATGATTTCTTACTATATGTATTTAAAAAAAGTAGATTTTACACAAATCTCATGATGTTAAAAGCTAATTACATCATATCATTACTCTTTTACAAATTAAAAAATTCCCTTAAATTTGGTAGAATTCAGATACATCTCAAAAACGTCATGATACATTGCGTCCCAATTTCGGATACATCATTCAACGTCCTGATACATCGCGTCTTTGTTTTGAATACATAACTCAACATCTTGATACATCGTCTACGTCCCGATACATCGCGTAAAGAGATGTATCCAATCGATATATCAGGTATAGTGATGTATCCAATCAAAACATAGCGTAAAGCGATGTATCCGACTGACACATCGCGTAAAGTAACGTCCCGATACATTGCATTCGTCTCGATACATCGTAAAGTGATGTATTTGACTGATATATCGCGTAAAGTGATGTGTCCGACCGATACATCACGTAAAGTGATATATCTAACTAATATATGGTGTAAAGTAGGAATTTTTATAAATTTTTTCAAATGATAAGAAATTTTAGAGAATATAATAAAAATAAGTTGTGCATTTAGATAGTATTTTTTCAAAAAAATATTAAAATAGTATCTGACAAGTTGAGACAATAAGGCTGCCACATTCAACAGTATGTATGTGTAAAACAGATGGCTAATTGAATGTGGTCCGTGTGTTCATACAACTTGATGATTATGATGGGATTGAAATTAATGAGAGGATCTAAGTGAGTCCAAGACTATATAATTGATTATGATGGATTTGAATGAGAGGATCTAAATCATTATTCATTCTACATTATTATCCCTTTTAAGGTTTTGGTCATGTTTTTTTTCTTCCACTTTCTTGCTCTTGTTTCTATGTGGATTTGCTAGAATCTTTGGACATGTGACTTTGTGGTGGAGAATAAGATAGTTTTCTATCCAAATTGGTCCCATTCCTAAGGTAAATGAGAGACATATTGGACACTAGCACCCCACAAGTGAACAATAATTTCATGTCTATCTTGTATAAGTCTAAAAAATGAGGTGGGGGGATTTATTTAGTTGGGTCAGAATTTAAAATTGGATTAGTAATAAAATGTTACATGTAATTTAAATGATTTTTTTCTTTAATATATTATTGACGGTTAGTTAAATAGATCAACGGAGAGAAATTCCGAATAACATAAGAGATTCTCCACACAAATAAATGATCCACCAAGTTCAAACTGATACAGGTAAATCGGACCAATACTTATCAATCAACAACAACGAATCACTTTGATTACGTAGTTTGATCAACAAGTACCAGACAGGCCGCCTTCCTAACATCTACGGATCGGTAGGCCATACTCTATGGGGTCGACGGCAGCTATTTGTATTTATTTATTTTTTTGGCGAATCTTGATTGAAAGAATCTCGTTGTTAAGTGAATAGAAAATAGAATTATATGAGTACTTCTAGTAAAATAAGTAGATGTATAGCATATTTAAACCTTTTAACGATAGTATAAAAAAAAATTTGTTGATCGTTTTCTATTTTGAAATTGAGTCTAGAACAATATCTTAACTAGAATGATAGTGAAGACATTCTAAAATTAGAACTTAAGTTGAAAAGAATAAATTTTAAAAAATGGAATAAAATGAAGCACGAGTAGAAAATTGCAATAGTCGAAGGACAGAGCTCTTAGCAGTCAAAAGACCAAACAATATTTGGAAAACATTTTTCAAACACACTCTAATTTTCTTTGTAACCAATCATTTGATAAGATATGTAAAAATAATATTGAGTATAGTGTATCAGTAATATTGCTAATATTTGTTATGTTTACATTAGTCATGTTGAGATTATATCTTATGCGGTATTTGACTTGATATATTTAAAAACACGCATTGTATAATTTCTAAGAAAATTATTTTTAACAAAACCCTCCATACATATAGTGGAAAAGATGTAGAAAAGATTATACAGGGCAATTATATTTTTAACCATGCTAATGCATGCATTAAAACTTCTTGCATTGTTAATACCATAATTTCTCTTGTATCAATTATACATAACATGGTATCAAATAGATTGTATAACAAAGATTAAAAAAATGTACCAAATAAAATATTAATAATACAAAAAAACTAATACATCCTTCATTTTTTCTAATATATTCTACCAACGACCCTTAAACGGTAAAGGAAAAGAACTATGGAACTACGACATTAGTTGAGACTTACATCTGAGTGGAGATTCGAAAGGTTTGAATTTATGCCCCTAGTACTTGGATTCTATTAGTACGTCTCGATGCATTTTTAGTATGTCTCGCTCCGAAACTCGCTTTAGAAAATGCTTTTTAAAAGGCTGCAAGTGGCTATCATTTTTTCTAAATATTGTACTAACTACTAACAAAGGAATCAGTCAGCATTTTCCATGCAATCGAATCATAAACAGTGGGGTTGAATTTCTGAACAAAGTAAACCTTGCATGTCCTTTTCAATCAAGGTCTCACATGTTGGTCAACTCAAAATCTTAAGAAGAAGAATATTTCTTGTTGGAATATATGTACTGACCTTGAACTTGCTACTAAAATTAAATAGCCATCATACATAAACAGTCATTCTAACTTGAACTCATCCAACAAGCACTCAAACTTTGAGAACACACAATAACACATCTAGAAACTTCAACTTGGTCTCAGCTAGCAATTACTAACACTCCAACAAATCCTATTGTGTCTCGTGGACACCTGACTCTGACTGACATTTAAATTTTGAAGGTGTCTAGATGATCATGTTGTAAGTTGAAGTGTTCAGCTGACGTAGTAGAGAGGAGTCGAGGTGTCTAGCATGTGCACTCCCAGAGTAAGAGTGATTACTTGTCAGCCAAGGGCAAGTTCAAGTTTTTTTTTTTTTTTTTTTTATGTATTATGTCTATCAGAGACAACTCTCTTACCTCACTTTTGAGGTAGAGGTCAGATCTACGTATACTCTACCCTCCCCGAACTCCACTCTGTGGGAATACACTAAGTATGTTGTTGTTGTTGTTGTTAACCTCGATTGGAACATGACCGAGGTTTTACGGCTTACCCTAAGTTTGATATTAAACTAGGAGTTACTTACAAATCACAATAAAAGCAAAGAGGATCACACAAGCATAGCAGTTAAAGGGAGAAAATGCATCTCCTGCTGTACATTTGCTTAGTATAAACTTTACAAGTTTGCAATGGAAATAAAAGTTTTGGCCTATGACTAAGAACATCTATGCTAAGCACTAGCAGAAACTGGCAGCAGAGGCCTCTGCCTATCTATGAACTTCTATTTCAAACTTTACATGTTAGTTAAGTTTGAAATAGAAATAAAGTTAGGAATATGACTTTGTCAATCCCAAGTTGTAGAGAAATTTCTCTGATCTTGATCTTAATATATTACCTAAAGAGAACCTGGAAGTTTGCTGTGGAGGTGCACCCGAGTAGAGATCATCCGTGACTTGAAGAATGGTTACACCTATTTCTTTCCGGACAGCCTCGATGGTTTCATTTTTAACTGGACCACCTGATGTATCAGTCACATAAAACGCGTTAACAGCTTGTGTGCCCCTTGTCATGACCTCTGCACGGGAAACAGAAAGACCGTACTCCCTAAATATGCGAGTTACATCAGATAGAAGCCCAATTCTGTCATCTCCACATAATTCCAGCCTTATTCCCTGCATATTATGGACAAAAGAAAGAACATAAGTTTAAAAAAGTGTGGAGTTTGAGTAGTACTTAATTTGCATTCGGATCATGAGTTTGTACCGTTGAAGTTCTCCTCTTGATAGCTGCCTCCAAGCAGTGAATTACACGTTGCCTCTCCGCTTCAGAACTAATGGGGTACCCATCCATATGCCTAATGTAATATTCCTAACCAAAAACAAAAGCAAGCAACACGAATGCAGATTAACAAAGAGAAAAAAATAACAACTTGTTCACAGTCTTAGACTACTAATGGCCCAAGACAGTTGATTTTGGCATTTCTTAGGCAACTAGCTTTTATGGTAAAATTTTGAATAATTAACTTTTAAAATGCTGTTTTAGAAAATAAAAGTTCATCTCACAGTTTTTGCACAGAAAGGTTTCAGCAGGTTCATGTACGATAAAGCGGGAAAAAAATGATTTAGGAAATTTTCAAGCATTTAAAAGACTACCTGACAAGCATCAGGTCCTTCAGCAATGATGGTAGCATGATACACTACAAACTGCATATCAGTTAATGTGCACACTGCATCGAAGAGCAGCTTAGGACGGTCTGGACATCTCAAAGTCACAACTGTGTACCCTTTATCTGCACACCTTTCTACAGTTACCAGAGGTTTCCTATTGTCAACCGATACACAATCTGTATCATCTTTATCATAATCACGATCAGCATACATCATCTGATGTAGCCTCCTTCCAGTATGAGTGGAGCCAACAGAAACTGCTGTATTGGCACCCCACAAATCTCTGTCTCCTTTTAAAACATACAACATCAGTTGCCTGATATTGGCAAGCCTCTCAGGATCAGTTATTGCCAACCTGCTTTCTTCATCGGTTATGTAAACAACTGATGCCATTCTTGAATTGTGAGTCCAGACTTCTGATGCTACAACATTACACTTATGGTCTGCAAGAACAGCAAAGATCTCTGAAAGCAATCCTGGTCTGTCTCGCCCCGTCAGTTCAATGGTTGTGTGTTCTGCAGCAGATTGAACACCCACAGATCTTTCCAAAGACCGGAAGCTGCGGCTCCCCCTCTGTCCCAGTGACTGCAACACAAGAAAATATTTGAGCTTTAATGTTTACTCAATCTCACACTATAACATTATCTGTATTAAGTAAAAAATATATTGTTTCATCTTCTTTAACTCAGTGATATCCACTTCCTACTCAGTCTCCTCCGAGGCTGACAACTAACGAAATTAAGTATTTCAGTGAGCATACTGACCATGAGTGAAGTAGGGGACAGAAGATCCGAACCCCCTTTCTTGGAGCATTATACAATTGTCAAAATTATTTTTAAATATAAAGTAGATGTTGAATTTCTTCGTGTGTTTACTTGCTACTATTTTGAATCCACCCTTAGTGAAAACTGATACCAAACCTAAAGAGTGTTATACTAAAACAGACTGATGATTGAAAAACTTCTAAAAAGGGGCAAACAATGGCTGCCTGAATAATCAATCAATCAAGTACGTCTCAATACGGAATTAGATGTACCTGCTGAATGCGGTCAGCGACATTATCTTCAGAGAGCTTTTTTCCATATCGATCAGTAACATGAAACACTGAAACAAGGGAAAGAACAATTAAAACAAACACTACTGGAAAAAAAAAAAGGAATTAACAACAGACAGATTCTGTAGCTAAACAAAAAAATCCGTTGTAATCCTATTTAACAACGGATTAGCAACAAAGTTCATAACTAATTCCAGTTTTTTTGTAGTGTATAAAGGGTATACAACAACAACAAGAAGATATCCTGTGTAATCCCACAAGTGGGGTCTGGAGGACCTTACCCCTACCTCGAAAGGTAGAGAGATTGTTTCCGATAAACCGATCAGCTCATAGAGTGTAAAGGGTGTACTAAACAAATTGAAAAAACCTAAGAAAAATCAAGAAACTCACCATCCATAAACCATTCCCCATCAGAAGATATATAAGCTCTTTTGATTATAAGGTTCAAATCAGAAAGAACCTGAACCACTTCCAACAAGCTTCCTCTTTTATTAGCACTATCAACCTGCAAAATTCCAATCATTTTTATATCCCAATTCTTCAAAAATCAAAGAGCACCAAGAGTAAAACTAATTAAATCCATTTCACTCAGACAGAAAAACACATCCATACCTTGATCAAAGTTGTTTTCTTGTCAGATGTGTTATCAACAGTAACCCTATAAACACCACATCATCAAAATTAACAATTGAATCAGCACAAAAATGCAAAATTTTCAATTTACAAATAATCTTGATTAAAAAAGTAGCAATCTTGATAACAAATGAACACATGGGGGTGGAGGGGGAGAGTGTCTATCTACCCTTTTAGCTTCAAATTTTGACTCCACCTCGAATTAATCAACACACCACGTAACAAAAATGCAAAATTTTCAATTTACAAATAATCTTGATTACAAAAGTAGCAATCTTGATAACAAATGAACACATGGGGGTGGAGGGGGAGAGTGTCTATCTACCCTTTTAGCTTCAAATTCTGACTCCACATCGAATTAATCAACACACCATGTAACAAAAATGCAAAATTTTCAATTTACAAACAATCTTGATTACAAAAGTAGCAATCTTGATGACAAATGAACACATGGGGGTGGAAGGGGAGAATGTCTGTCTACCCTTTTAGCTTCAAATTCTGCCTCCGCCTCGAATTAATCAACACACCATATAGCAAAAATGCAAAATTTTCAATTTACAAACAATCTTGATTACAAAAATAGCAATCTTGATGACAAATGAACATGGGGATGAAGGGGGAGAGTGTCTGTCTACCCTTTTAGCTTCAAATTCTGACTCCACCTCCAATTAATCAACACACCATGTAGCAAAAAATGCAAAATTTTCAATTTACAAACAATCTTGATTACAAAAGTAGCAATCTTGATAACAAATGAACACATGGGGGTGTCTATCTATCCCTTTTTAGCTTCAAATTCTGACTCCGCCCAGAATTAATCAACACACCATTTTATACAAAGGGTAAAAAAAAAAAGTACCTTGGGGGGTTCATTCGAAGGACAAGTTTCTTGAATTCATCATCAGAGAAAGAAGGAGACCAGTAATCCATTTTGAATGGATCAAAAATTCTTCTGTACTGTTTTCTAGTTTTTTTTCAGCTCTCAAGAGTGCTTTTTTTTTGTGTCACACTTGTGTGTGTATCTGAGTCAGTAAGACAGAAAGGATGTGAGGTGTTGCTGGCGTTAGTTTTATATACTAAAAAAAAAATGGGTGACTGGATTGATGCCTCTTGACCTTTGCCAAGAGTTTCTTTGGGACGTTACAAATACAATTTTACATAAAAGGGGATGATATGGTCACTGGCCACTTGGTCAGGGTTCATATGGGACCCTCTCTATCACAAAACAGCCGTCCACCCTGCACTTTGGGAAAAAAATAAAAACTTTTTAGACTAAATTAGTGAATAGAAAACATGTGTCATTTAGTTCTGATATTAGGGCTCGTTTGATTTGCGGATAAAGTTATTTTAAATTTAGGTTAATTTATTTTACTTAAGAGATGGGATAAAATAATGTATGATTTTATATTTTATTTAATTGATGATATAAATTTATCTCAGATTATTTTTTGGAAGAAGTCGTGAAAACTTCGATTGTTCTGAAGTTTATGAAAGGCGAGGCTAGATCATGAAAGAAAAAAGTGTTAGGTTTCAACTCACATCCCAATATAGTGTGGTTGACCTTCTGAATTACACAAATCCTTCAAACATTTAGGTGGTCGCATATGTGAGTGGAGAGAGGGTTCTGCTAGCTCCTTTCGCGGGTTATTCTCTATAGAAGCTGACGATTGATCTTGAAATAAACTTATAATTTTTAGGTTATTTTATTCTACTAAAGGGATGTGATAAAAATTTTATATTTTATTTGGTTAAAGGTATAAATTTATTCGAGATCCCTTTTCGGACGGAGCTATGAAAATTGTTATCGTTCTAAACTTTACAAAAGGAGACTAGACCATGAAAGAAAAAAGAGTTAGGTTTCAACTGATACTCTAACATGACGTGGTTGATCTTCTGAATTGTGCAGATCCTTCAAACATTCAGGGTGGTAGTGTATGTGAGCGTAGAGAGACTTTTACTAGTTCCTTTCGCAGGTTATTCTCTCCCGAAGTGGTGATTTTATAAATAAAACTTATATCTTCAATCAAATAAAGTATAAATCTAATTACAAATTTAATCTTATGATATATATTTCACCTTATCCATGAATCAAACAACCCCTTAGAGTTTACGCAAGGGCAGATCCATAGTATTAGTTATGGTCTGTTTACATAAGTTAGTAAAAAAAAATTCTAAATTTTATATTTGCATTAAGAAATTTATTAAATGTATAAGAGTATTTAACTTGAAATCGTTTGTTGGTTCCGTTATTACTCTACGTTAACATGAGATTGTTGTAGCAGCCCATAAACTAAAATTCTAGGTCTCCCTTTGAGTTCACGTTATAATTTAAGTTATATATACTATGAGTATAATAAAAAGTTTTACATCATTAGATCCCTTTTCGAAAGGAGCCATGAAAGTTTTTATAGTTCTGAACTTTACGAAAGAAGGCTAGCTCAAGATAGAAGAAAGAGTTAGATTTCAACAAATATCCCAAAATATAATAGTGCATAATAGTGCAACTAATCTAATTTGGACTACGTAAATCCTTTAAACATTCAGGTGGTCATGCATGCATGCGAGTGTAGAGAGAGTTCTGTTAGCTCCTGAGTTCATGTACATGTTAGAGTTTACGTTATACACAACATGTTAGAGTTAAATTCATGTTCTATGCAAATCTTGAGTTCATGTTAGAGTTTACGTTATACACAACATGAGTATAATAAGAAGTTTACGTGATAAATTAGATACCTTTCTGAAAGCAGTTATGAAAGCTTGTATCGTTTTGAACCAAATAAAGTATAAATTTATTCTCCCTGTGGGACTTATTCTCCCTGTGGGACTTATTCTCCCTGTGGGACTTATTCTCCCTCGAAGCTAGCAGTCAATAGAGATCCCAATTACTAAGATAAATGTATTCCTTCAACCAAATAAAGTATAAATTTAATCACAAACTTAACTTTGCGATACTCCACTTTATATACGAACCAAATGACCCCCCCCCCCCCCCCCAGAGTTTATGCAAGGTTGATCTATAGTATTAGCTATGGACTTACGTTCATTCATAATTTTATCTAAATTTTATACTTGCATTAAGAAATTCACTAAAAGTATAAAAATATTTAACTTAGGATCGTTTGTTGATCCGTTTATTATTGTATATTAGCTTTAAATCATTATATATGCCCATACACTTTAAATTTTCCTCGTAGTTTACGTTAGAATTTAAGTTGTATATAACATGAGTATGATAAAAAATTTTACATAATTTAGAGAGAGTTTAGATATTCCACCTTTATCCACAAACCAAATGACCCCTCAGAGCTTACACAAGGGAAGATCTATAGTATTAGCTAAAAAAATTATTTGTATTAGTACATTTGAGTCTCTCTCTCTCTGAGTTTACGTTAGAGTTTAAGTTATATGCATCGTGAACGTAATTTATTTATTTTTACATTTATTAAATTATATTTATTTGTTAAGTAAATAATCTGTTTTATTTTTAAAATTTCAAAAAAAATAATTTAAGATATCTTAAAATAATCGGGCAATACAATTTTAGTGACAGAATATATAACTTAAAAGTAAAATTAGTTAATTATAAAAATAAAAAAGGTCAAATAACTTTGTTAAAACACGAACACGTATTTGTCGTCTGCATTTATAACTTAGATCATTATTTCCCTATTTTAAAAAAAGGTTCATTACTTTAAGCACGTTTAAAACGTAATTGTTTAACTAATGATTTAATAAAGATAGTGTTCAAATTTTATAATTAATTACTATTTAAGGCCCACTTACAGAGTAAAAAATAAATAAATCAGTTGTATCTAACTAACTTCAATATTCATTGGATATGAATGAAATTTATAATTTTTTTACCACATAAGGCATTGTGCTCATTTTTGTCTTCCCATCTTTTTGTTCTTTTTGTTAGCAATAAATTGTCGAGTGTTTAGTCAAATTAATTTAATTTCTTATAATAAAGAAATTAAGTGAAACAAGAATATACATTTATTAATTATGATTAAGTGATAACTATGTATTTGAATAATTGTTATGTATTTATTAATTTAGTATAAATTCGGTGCAAATAAATTTAATGTTACCATGGTCATTTGTTGACTAAAACTAATTTCATTTAATATGATATATTGACGAACTATGATTAAGTAATAATTGTGCATTTAAATGCATGTCATGTATTTATTAGTTTGATAAAAATATTTAGTTCGGGTAAATTTAATGTAACTATTGTTGTTTTTTTTACCAAAACTAGTTTCATTTTCGGAAAAAAGCTTTCAATTTATTTCATCGAACTTTGATAAAATATTCATTTATGTGTTAAAAGTTTGACGCAGCCCTGTCATTTTCTTTTGAGAAATGGCTTATCCATGTCATTATTGGTTAACTGAAAACTCATTCAATTTTGCAAAACCATTTTGTTCACGTGGAAAACAATGATTCGACCACGTCATTACTTATATATATATATATATATATATATATATATATATATTATTATTATTATTTTTTAATTTTTTTTTTTTAATTTTATTTCTAAAAATCCATTTGAATTTTTAAAAAACACACAAATTACCACTAATTTTCACTAATACACGTAACTTTTAAATATTTCTGTGTGTTGTATTTAAATTTTTTCTCAAACAAACTTAATAAGACATAATAAAATTTTAAAAAGTTAAAAATATATAACACTTTAAAAATAATATTATTATTAATACACATAACTTTTTCGAGTGGGTTATAATTTGGGTGTTAAAAATGTTCAAATTAATTTGAAATTTTTTGCTGATTTTAAATTTAATACATAAATAAATAATAATTATCATTGTTCGCCACATGGATAAAATGATTTTGCAAAACCAAATGGGTTTTCAGTTAACTTATAACAGCATCGATTAACCTTTTCTCAAATTGAAATAGTATAGATGAGCCAAACTTTTAATGAATGAAATACTTTAATTTTTTTAAAAATAATTTATATTTATAAGTTCTAAGAACTATTTAAAATACTGATATATGTGTACTATCATTTTATAATGAACATGTTTCGTGAAAAATCATGACATCAAACACAGTTAATATGAATATGAAACAAGAGAAATAAAATAAAAGAAAAATACCATTAGTTCGTATACAAAAAAAATAATACTATTACTAGTAATTAGAAGTGATTTCGGAGAGTAAGTTCAAATAAAAACTATATAAAATATGTATATAACTGCATAAATTTTGTATAACGAACATGGACTAAAATTCAACTATAAATGATGGATGTTTTTACAAAATACAAATGTTTGGGGTACATAATTTTAAAATTTATAAAAGCTTACGAATAAAGAATTTAGCCCAATACTATTTTTTTCTAATATTTAAAATTCAAGATTTTTTGCCAAAAATATTTGTCAAATAATTGACAAGTTATATGATCAAATAACATTTATCAAGTTTTTGTTTCAAATATTTTTTTAGAATATCTTGACCAAATGAGTCCTATATATTTCTTTAAGAGTCGGCATAAGAAAAATATGTACATGATATTTTTATATTTAAAAATAATTCAATTTTAAATTTCATATATTCTATTATAAATCTCATGATAACAATTATTTAAATTTCAAATTTTAAATTTATATTTCTTGTTTAAATAATGTTCTATTAGTCAAAGGGAGCATAAGATTATGGATATCAAAATTAATCTAAAATTCACATGATATGTATAACTCGTCCAAAATTTACTGTGTGAGTAAGTGATATAATCAAGTCTAACTCAATGAGTTAACCCTAATATGCTAGTTGAGATTAGGAAATGGCAATGAAGCGAAACAATGCGGGACAAATTTTATGTTGTGCATGGTAGTATTTTGAATCGTATCCTAATTAAGAAATTATAACGTAAACATTATATTTGAATATAAATATTAATGATCGATTTTACAGTACAAGCATGTTAATAATCACGTGATAACAACTTTATCGCAACTATAAAACTAGATAATTTCGTTTCTTGTGATCTAACTTGCAACAAAAA